GCATATAAAATTGGCTATGGACAGCTAAAAAATGTAATCATATAGAGATGATGACCGATAAAAAAAGCTTTGGAATGTTTATTTTTTTTCAAACATACATTGAATCTTTGGAGGGGAATGTACTTTATTGAAAGCTGTGTTGAAGAGGCAAAAATATAACAGATAATATAATAGTAGTGGTTTGATGATAGTTTTGTGTGTGAACCTTTTCTGGTGCAGTGACTTGGAATTGAAGCCTCATGGAATTTTAGAGGTGAAACTGGTGCAAGCTAAAGAGCTATCAAATAAAGATCTCATTGGGAAGTCTGATCCTTTTGCTTCCTTATTCATACGCCCATTACGTAACAGAACCAAAAAGAGTAAAACTATTGTAAGTTTGTGTTCTATTCTCTACTCTAGTTTCAAATGTTTTATTTTATCTTAGATGACGTTGTAGCATTTCTTCAGAGCAATCAACTGAATCCAATATGGAATGAGAGTTTTGACTTCGTAGTTGAGGATCCTGCCACGCAACATTTGACTGTTAGAGTCTATGATGATGAAGGTCTTCAGCCTCCTCAACTTATTGGTTGTGCACAAATACCAATTAATGTGCTTGAGCCTGGTAAAGTGAAAATTGAATGGTTAAATCTTGTCAAGGACCTAAAGGTTCAGAGGGATAGAAAAAATAGAGGTCAGGTAAGGAACCTGTCTCACAAATCTTTACTGATTTCCTTTCTATTTAGGTTTTTGTATATGAAATGAAAACAAATAGAGAGCATTTGCTAATTTTTCAATGTTGTATCAAATTGCCTCTTCACAATGATTTTAGTTTCCTTATTTTTGACATTGTGTTCAGGCGGGGTGTTCAAAAATATCCGATCCGAAATTTCGGATATTCAATCCGATTTTAAGGTTTCGGATATTTCGGATCGGATATCCGAAAAAAATTTTGGACTTTAAGATCGGATATGGATCGGATTTTGTCCGAAAATTTTAACTACCCGATCCAAAAATCCGTTGATCCGATCAGAAAACCCAATTATCCGATCCAAAAATCCGGATATCCGATCCGAAAAGTTCGGATCGGATTCGGATCGCAATTTCTCTGATCCGAAAATTTCTGATATCCGAATTTTTGGATCGGATATCCGAAAGTGAACAATCCTGCCAAGTAGCAACCCAATAGCTTGTGAATTTATTTATTTTGGAATATAGTTTTTGATTTTTATTATATTTTTATATTATTGGTTTATTGTGAATTTCATGTTGTGATGACACTATATATTTATCCTGCTCATATATTATCTAGTATCTACTATGGAGGTGCAAGTCAGTGAAATTTAGTTTCAATTTCTTATCTGATACTTTGATTTTTTTGAAATAGGGTAGCAGGATATCAAAGTATAATGAATGAGAATGATTGAACTACTTAAGAGTAGAGATAATGAAATCATCTGTTAGAAGTATATTGGTGATAGTATACCAGATTTGAATACAAATGTTTCATATTTTTGGTTCATTCCTCTCAATTCTTAGCTTCTTGCCTTCTTTTATAAACCTCGTGGTGAGGCTAATAAGAGAGAAGCTTGAGAAAGAGGAGACTTAATTTTCACTTGGCTCCTTTCGGAATGCAGGTTCATCTGGAGCTCTTATATTGTCCATTTGGCACTGAAAATCAGATTCTAAATCCTTTTTCCTCTATTGTGCCACTGACGGATGTGGAAAGAGTCTTGAAAGACACAACTGAGGATGATGCCAGTGATATCGAAAGAAAAACCAGTGAAAAGAAGCATGAGGTCATCCTTCGAGGGGTGCTTTCTGTAACAGTGGTATCTGCAGAAAATTTGCCAGTTATGGATCTGACTGGAAAGTCTGACCCTTATGTGACTGTGTCACTGAAGAAGGCAGGAACAAAAATGAAAACTAGAGTATGTATTCATTATTGATTAGTGTTTGCATTACTGTGCCTTACTGCCTTAATCTATGGTTTGCAGTTGGATTGGTCTTCAGAAATTGTTGCATGCTTAACCAATTCCTCTATTCAATTGCAGGTTCTAAACGAAACTCTAAATCCAGTTTGGAACCAAACCTTTGACTTTGTTGTGGAGGATGCTTTGCACGAATTGCTTATTTTTGAGGTGTATGATCATGACACAATCGGAAAGGTAAGCTCATTAGCCTGAATTTGACATTTCTTCTACTTGTCCACAAATAGTTAATTACATTTATTACCAGGACATCAATGCAATGCTTTGTTGCCCAGTTTCTATGAAGTCTCAAGTACCTTATTCACACTGTTTCCAAATTACGGAGTATTTATTATTTTTGGTATTAAAAGAGTTTTATAGTTCACAAACTAACTTGAGATCATGAATTTTAGATATAAGTAATTATATTGATGCCGCTCAGGGGGGGGGGGGGGTCAGATATTTTAATACATATCCTTTGTATAATTACAAGAGGTTTTTTCAACATTACCACACAGTTGCAAAGAGGATATTTCTAGTTTGCATCGGTTAAAGTGTATACTTCTTCTGTATTGTACAACACCAAAAAATTTCTTTCACCTATCCAATGTTGATGTCAAATTGTTGTTTAATATGATGTTAAATAGTCAGATCACTCTCTGGAAAATTCAAATAATTTATCTCAATCTAATATTGCAGAATTATATGGGAAGATGCATCATGACACTTACTAGAGTACTGCTGGAAGGGGATCTCTACGACATCTTTGATCTAGACGGAACAACATCCGGAAGGCTAGCCTTGCATCTGAAGTGGACTCCTCAGCCAATAATGAGGGATGTTTAAGTAGGAAAATCACGATGCTGTGAAAGGAGTGCTCGAAAGGTACATGAATGTCAAAATGTTTCCTCAACTTTCCTCCCTTGTTTGAGCATATGACTCAACAAAAAAGTGCAACTCAGTTCAACTTCCATGGAATATATGTTATGGTCAGACCAAGGGAAAGGCTCAAGTGATTAAAGACTTCTGCATGATTCAGGTCATTCTGCATGGTAAATGATATTTACTACTATAGATGTAATGACTAGAGTATGTACATAGGATTTTTAGAGTTTTTGTTCAATTATTTTTCTGCTAAGGTGATCTGATTTCTACATCATGTATAAAATTCGTTCATATGAAGTACATAATATTACATAATGGCATAATGCATAAGTCATACAATGTGCTTTTTAAGTCGTGCATTAAAAAATAGTCACCCCTTCCCCACCACCCCGCCGGCGCCTAGGTTCGGCCCCCTTTTGTCGGCCCTCCCCCCACCCTTGTCATCGGCCCTCCTGCTTTCCCCCAAATCATCATCCCCTTCCCCAACCCCCCTCGTCTCTTTTCTATAGTTACACTTTTGACTTTCATGATTTCTAATGCAAATCTTTGACTATGTATACATTCAATATAGTTTGAGTAAAAAAAATAATAAAAATTTGATATTTTGACAAATCTAATTACATGTATTTAGGAGGGGAAGAAAATTTGTGACAACTGAGTAGCCGCCAATAATATGTAATTGTAACTCCGAAAGTATATTTTATTGTAATCATAATTTGTATCTGCTTGTATGTTACTTCCAGAAGTGAAATAAGTTTATCAGCCAATCAAGATTATTCAACAATTAAGTCAATTGTTAAAGTCCCCTCTCCCTCCAAAAAAAATAAAAATAAAATAAAATTTGCACTCTTTGTGAACATCACCATTGGAGGAAAAAGTAAAGCTTTGAGATTATACAAAGTCAAAGAGGTGAAAAGTACAATTTTGTTTTGCTTGTGTTTCAAGTTTATTTATGGCTTTCAAAATTGCATTACACAAAATTTGGAAGATAAATGTGGTCGTGTGGAGTCTTAGGTCGAAAGCTTAGTAAAAGGTTAAAATTGTCCATCTAATAGATAAAACATTATAAATACAATAATTTTTTCTTCAAAAAAATAAAAATAAGTACAATAATTTTCAAATATGTAAAACATTTATTAGTTCAATCTAAATACATTTTTTAAAAAATAAAGCTAAAACTTGGGCATAAACCATATAGGAGAGAAGAATACTAGGAATTGAAATTATATCAATTGTTATTATACCAGTGCCTCTATGATAAAATGGTTGAATTTTTCCTGTGACTCACTAGTGGAAAAAAACGTTATTTGCAGCACGCCCAAACCCCCTCCCCCCCCCCCCCCGCAGCATTTTCATACGCGGCATATGTGAGTGATGCAATTACTGGATATTATTTGCAGTGTGCATAAAACGCTGCAAAAAATGGAATAATTGGACTATTTGCAGCATGTCCAAGCTAGGTGCGTTGTAAATAGTCCAATTATTTGCAGCATGCATAGTTGGGGGCGTTGCAAATAGTCCAATTATTTGCAGTGCACTCTAGCTCGACACGTTGCAAATATTTCATTTTTTTTTTTTTTGGTATTCCCACCTCAATTTAGACAGAAACATAGGATAAATAGAAACAATTTTGATGATTTTATTAGTCGGCCAAAAATCAAGGTCATTACAAATAATTCCATGTAAATCATAGGGGTACTCCTCTAACTAAACACGAAAACCATTAAACTATTTTTTGTCCTTAATCCTTTCCTTCATACTTCCCTCAAAAAAAAAAAAAAAAAAAAAAAAAAATTTCCTTTCCTTAATATCAGAACACCAGCTATTAAAGTCCCTTCCCCCACCTAAACTCGTATCAAGCCTCAATACTGAGTGATTCCACATCGAGATCACAGATGGGCACATCAGCAACATGTGCAATTTGTGCATTGTCGATTCAACACCTTCTCCACACATTGGGCAAATCTGATCACACTGACCACAAATCTGTTCCAAAGCCTTTGAACCTGCAACCACGTGTTTCATTATCAGAATCTACAGCCATGAACATTACATTTATCTGCAGTAAAATCTTACATGTAACAAAACCTGCCAGATACATAAAACCATGGTTTTATAAAAAAGATTTTACAAGCTGCAAGGCAATGATTATGAGAGCTTACCAGAGAGGAGCCAGGGGTGTTGACAGCTTTAGAAAAGGATACGGCCACCTGAAAATGTATATAATCATGTTAAGTTGATTACTACTCTAGCCTAAGATAGATAAGATAAGATAAGCCGCGGAGGGAAATGACATGAATGAAGCTAATAGTTGAGGAGTGCTGACCAAGTGAAACCACATAAGTTGATGAGCCATTGAAAGTTGACATATGCTGAGCTCCACAGCACAAAATAAGCTAGCCAGAACCAAGGAAATGTCTGTTCATCGATCACACTCAATTTTAGCAACTAAACAATTCATCAAGTCACAAATAGAAACATATATACAGTACATGATTGAATTTATTATCAGAAATTACTAAATGAATTATACATACCGCAAAATACATCATAGTTAAAGAGTAAGTTCACAATAAACAAGTCAAATCAAACACAGACCTAGTTTTTGTATTCCTTAATGTACTGCTCGCCCCTCTTGAAGATCAGCTTCCTGTCTTGAACTCTCTTCTTCTTCTGAACATCCAGCTACTCCTTGAACTCTCTTCTTCTTCTTCTTCTTCTTCTGCTTTTTCAAAACCAATTCCGGTACAACAACTTTAGTAGCCTCCTCACCCGTTTCTGTTTAACAAAAGTACCAATAATTAAGCATCCAAAAACACTAAAATCAAATTACATTTCATTGATCGTAATCTAGATATACTGTGAGTGTAAATAGCAGACTATGTGTCTTAAGAATTACATTTCATTTGATCCATTTCCTGCTGTTTTGATGTCTATGTTAAGTGAATGAGCTGAGTAAATTTAAAAATTATAAAAATGAGAACATTAAATGTCCCAATAGTCATTTTTTTTCCCTTAACATGCTGTTTCTCAAGGTAGAATGCTGTTGTAGAGTACGTCAATTCTTGACTCCATACTACTTTAGATAGATATACATTTGCGCTAAGAGTAGGAGGGAAAAGGGTGGAGTTGGGAGGTTTTTCTTTCCTGTCATATTTCGTATTCCTTGTCTAAGTTTGCTCTATTTATTCAGTAGCTTATTTATTATTCCTTGTCTAAGTCTGATTGATTTCATGTTTCACTCTGCATCCCTTGGTGTGCACGTGTTGCCGCAAATTAAAGAGCGTCGAAATTGACAATTCCGGCGATATATGAAACTGCACTTTATGTTTCAAGCTTTACCCGACTCTTAATTTGCTTGAATCTCGTGTCCATGACTGCCATAAGGATTATAACTACTTGTGCCCATCTCCAAAATGTGCAACTGTAATTAGCAGTGAAGATAAAACCCATGAATGCAACGACTTCTACATTAATGTTTCCCTAACTTATAATGTTTCCCTTTTCAATATGGCGCATTATATACGCAAGATAAAAGATGCAACATAAGAAATCTATCAGGCTCGATTTATTTCTTTTTTTCCAAAATATTATCCTCCTTATTCAAAAAAATATAAAAAAAATAGTGGGTTTCATTCCTCAAAAAGAAAACAAAATTAGTGGGTTTCAAAATTTTTATTAAAAAGTCAATAATTATTAGGTATTAAAAATAAAAAAAAAATACTTCGTAGGCTAAATAATAGGATATGACTTTCCTAAAATACAAGTATATTTTTTTAGATGAATGGTAGAGTTTTTTTTTTTTATTTTTTTTATTTTTTATGAATAGTAGTTTTTTTTAAAGGATGAAAAGAGTTATTTTAATAAAGTAAAATTTATCACCCAAAACCCCCCATTTCACTTTATATACTACGTATTAGCTAGAGATAGATACTCCATACTTTTTTTTTTGACTTTATTTTTTACCATTATATATTGTTGAAATAGTTACATTACAATGTCTATATTCATAATTTTTTTAATAAAAAATTGAGAGTACTTCAAGCTACACACAAACAAAGAATTAAATTACTAAAATAATAAGGGCATACAGATCATATCATTTTACTTGACTAGCTTTACAACCCAGGTTGCAAATTACACGAAACCCTAGATCAGCCAGCCGTCCGTCCAGGTCCAATTTAGGTAAGATGTGGGAGTTCCTGAAGCATATAAATACTGCTGCTCTCCTCAAAAAATGGAAACTGCTTCTATATACTCATGTGCATCCCTCAATGTTTGAGTTTAACAGGACTGTGACAGTTGACATCAGTACCAAAATTGATACATCCCTATCTCAGCCTCCTCGTCTCCTGCGACGCAGGTTGCTAGCCCTAGAATACGATAAACAAGTATCTTTTTAAAGATTAGACCATCACATGTAAGGGGAGCAGGTAAAATACCTCATTATCTCACTACAAGTCTACAAGCTACAACCATACTAAAATATAAAATCCAACTTATTTGCTACCTTGTGAAATGTTACTACTCTAATAGTATTGTGCACATCAGAATCGACTATTGATTTCGGACGGAGTACCAAGTCCAATGATTCGTGTAATAAACCTAATTCGATATAAAAAGTACAATCAGAACTTCACATGAAAAATGCTACAAGCTATGAAATCATCATAATGCAAAACTCAACATATTTTTGTAATTTTCTTTTTAGTTATTTCCTTACTATAAGGCTCCAAAATAAGAAAATTTTGTATTTATGTTCATTAGAAAAGATAATGTATCCCTCCCAAAATTCCCTCCTAACTACATCAAGACTTTTTTAATGACTGCATTGGAGATGTAAGCAAGAGTCCACTAGACATTTCCCTCCAAAATACATTTTTTAGTTAACTAACTCCCAATATTGTAAAATGATTGCATTGAAAATTCCTGATTTGTTTCATACATTAATTTTAAACCGATCATGGTCAATTTTCACAAATTATTTCAATTTTTGATTAATTTGGGTATGGATTCCTGACGTGCGAGTGTCAAATGTAGGTAGTTATTTGCTGAATTCAGGTATCAAGTACCCAATCTTAATTCGATTACATACTGGGTACCCAACCCATGCACATGCATGCAGCCTAAGCAGCAAATAGAAACACACCAGATTTTATCAAATTATAAACAGATTAAAAGCAAGAGTTTTCATCCTCTCTTATCTCTTTGTTAACTACCTACACAAACAGACACACTCACCCTTTTCTGAAGGTATTAGAGAAGACTACAGAATGAGAAGACTAGAGGAGAGCAGCAACACATACCAGTATTGATTGTGGAATACCGCAAAATCTGTTGGTATACTTTTCCCGTCATCATTGCGATTCCAATGGTAAATTGCATGGGTTCTGTTTTGTATTTCCAGTGTGGAATGCCCATAACTGGCTTCTCGAAACGCAGAATAGTCAGGTTGTGGATCCCAGAACCTGTAAGTTGAATAACCCTCAGATACACAGAATGATCATAAGAGAAGATATCCAAGATGCAAAAATAACCATGATCAGGACTAGTGTCATTCTATATGTTCTGACTTATTATCTTTTCTTAAAAAAACAAAAAATGGTGGCAAGCTCAGTCAGTTTGCATTAACCATGATCAGGACTAGTGTCACTAGTGTCATTCTATATGTCCTGACTTATTATCTTTTCTTAAAAAAAAAAAAAAAAAAAATGGTGGGAAGCTCAGTCAGTTTGCATTAAGAAATAATGGAACCAGCATACACAATTGTTTTTTTTTTTTCCCTGAATAGTCAGAGGGGGTCGTTCAGGGCTACGGTGATTTGCCATTTTCCAGATTTTTTTTGTAAAATAAAAGCAAAACCTGTTCAGTACAGGATTATTTTGAGTAACAGAACTTCCTAACATGAACTACAAAAGAGTCCCCAGAATCAACCACCAGTCCACCATTGTGAAAAGCAGAAATCATTAATCAAAGGAATGTCAAGCACAATTCATCATACTTACTTGGCAGCTAGACCTTCTCGATTTCCACCGTCTCCAACGGTTATGTAAACTGGAGCTGCTTTATCAGGTACAGGATACGGATCACCATTTGTTACATTGTAGTGTATGTTAGACATTCGATACTGAAATCAACAAAAAAAGAAAAAGCTTGTGTATTAGGCATCCAGGCTTTTACTCAACCCCCAAGTCCTCAACCCAGGGCTAAAATAGAGAGGAAAAACTTGTGAGCAAAACACAAAGGTTTGAGAACCAAACAAGAGAAATATATAATTTTTAAGAGAGTTCAAAAAGAGTGGCAAGGGGATAGTAAAGAGAGGAAAAACTTGTGGGCAAAACACACAAAAAGGTTTGAGAAAACCTTAGCAGGGGAGATAAGTAGAGTTTGCAAAAACATGAGTTCAGTAAATATTAAAATAAAATAAACAAAGTATATACAGTATATAAAATCACGATACATCCTCGCATGCATTTTCTCCCTCCACTCCACCCAACACCATGTTTTTCTCAATCCCCAAAGCACTCATATCACTCTCAATCACCCTCTTCCAAGTTTTCTTAGGTCTTCCCCTGCCCCTCGCAATCCCATCACTTGCCACTCTTCAAGCCTCTTACCAGAGCCTCGCTTGATCTCTGATTTACATAGCCAAATCATATTAGACTAATAAAGAAAAGATTAAATATGGTTCGGTTACTACCTTAGTTTATTTTTAACACCATCAATTAGCCTATAAAGATTACAAACCATGCTTATCAGACAGATTGACAGAAACAAGGTGCAGACTGCATAACAGTTTTCCCTGATTCCCCAAGTAGTTGTCAGCAATTTTGGGAAGCCTCACAGAGTTGTCACTTGTGGTCTTATTATTTCCGCCCTACAACAGTGTCCCACAGAGTTTCTCATTTTACCTCGAGGAAATAGATTCTAACTGATTGTGACAATTAAATGGGAAAGCTCCCAGTGGAGTTAATAATGTTCAGCATGTCCAAAATAAGCAAGCCCTGGCCAATAATTGACTGACCCACATACAGGGTTCCCCTCACCCCTGCCCCATGCTGACCCATCAACAAATTCCAGGCAAATGCCTACTGGGCACTGGACAGCAAGCACAGTAGTGGCTCTCATGGGATTGAACCATGGGCCATGGGAAGTTGAAAAAAGGCAGGTGCGTAGCCAGCAAACCAAACGTCTTTCATTAACAGACTGTAAATGATAAATTTTATCAGATCTATCCTATCCCACTTCAATCCTAAACCCAAAACAAAAGTTTCCAATGCCTAAAGTCAAGCCATGTAAGTTTAGCTGTATGAACCTCCCAACTTCAACAGTTTCCGTTTATTCCATAGCAACTTCAAACCATATTCGAACGTCAGAGCATGAAGTCTGATCAGATGTTTGACCACCCCATTCCCAAGTTTTATTATGGCTATAATTTATAGGTATCTCAGATCTGTATGCTTATAATCAAAGAATTGTATGCTTTATATTCTTTACATAGCAAGGAATGTTTGAAGTTCAATCTTAACATAGAACAATATAAGCAAGTAGAACATGTATGAAATCCCAGGAATAAAGGAAAAGAATATACATACTGATCTTTCATAAGCATGGACATGGCCAGCAAAGACAAAATCAACTCTGTACAGAACAAACCAGCTCTCAAACACAGAACGCATACTTTCACCCTCCATATAATGGGCTACATTACTGCTGTAAAGAGGGGCATGCATTAGAACAATAAGCCAAGGTGTTTTTTCTCTATTCACCCTTCGGAGTTCTTCTCTGAGCCACATCCATTGTGGAGTATATTTAACTGTTCAAGATGAAGATAAAGTCATCAGCATGTGCAGAGTTTGGAGTCTGGCAAAATCCAAGCATCACCCAGGGAATAGTACATCGAAGTATTTAATGAACAGAAAATTGAAACAGTAAACCTAGTAGGAATATAGCTCTACAAAATGTTGCAATACCTATTTTCCGGCCAGAAAAAACAGGTACACCTTTACAATAATTTATTCTTTCCATGAGAAGTTTAAAAAGTAATTAAACGAACAAAGCATTGAAGTTATATGAAAACAAAAGATAAAACAATATTATAAATATAATCATCAGAATCACATGGCTGGGTTTAAAACATGGAACATATATGATATTTCATCACTAGAAAATTGTATCACTTAACATAATATTTATATATTGATTAAAATTTGACCTATTATTTCTAATATAGAATGAAAACATTAACACTGACTCCAACCCATTACCAAGCTTTAATGCTTCAAGAGTAATCTAAAGACCTAGATCAAAGGCTACAGAAACAAACCACCTAATGTTCTATTCATCTTTGCATTTTCACTTTTTTCAAGTTTTTATTTTTTTTTTCTTTTGGGAAGGGAAGGGGGGGGGGAGCCCTATGCTAGCTCAACACAATCTTGACAGCAATATATGAATTTTTCGTGGATAACAGAATACCACTATATAATCAAATGCAAGAATCAGATCAAAACAATTCATAGTAAACAGATCTGCATGAAAAGAATACAAGGAAGAAGAAATCACCAAATGGAGAATAACTGGATAGTACAATAATATGAGAAGATGCACGACGAACAGAATACCAGAGAGGGCTACTGCTTTTGGAGGCAACATAAGGAGTAGGATATCTATGTAGGTAATTTTTGAACATAGTTAGTTCCCCCTGAAAAAATATAGCATAATATAAATTAGAGAAATATGGCAGTTAAATCTTATAAAGCAACACAAAACGGAAGCATAATATCAGCTAGCATCTACCTCTTGAAAAGTACAAGGATAACAAGACACTTTACTCCATATCCTAAATCTTGTGTCCAAACCAAATGGTGCAAATTAAAGAAATTGGAGGAAGTATACAGCAGTACCAAGATTATCAACCAACCTCAAAAGACACTAAAAAAGGACACAACCACAAAATATGTGCAGCTACAACGCCAATTCTACATCAACACCATTTTATAATGTAAGACACACTCCAGTTGACAGATTGTATATCACTCATTTAAGCACCAAAGGCATTCATACAAATTGACAAATCCCAGATATGGGATGTTGGAGATGGGCAACTGATAGAAATATTCTATTAACTCTTCTAGGAAAGTGGTCCCTCCCCTTGGCTCCATAGTCTTCTTTGGTATATTTAAAAAACTATGTTCTATAATTTCAGAAGCGAAATATATTATCTCTTGCATACCCCCCTCCCCAACACAAAAATAAAATAGAATAAATTAAACACCTGATAAAATGTTGAGGCATCTGCAACCATAATCTTACCAAATCTGGCATATACTCTATCTCATGATTGCCAGCCGTCCAAATCCATGATTCGTATGCGGCAATTGGCTCAATGAAGCGGCCCCAAGAATCCCACCTAACCCCAATATCATTGTACTTATATTGATCCGCATAAGAAAGATCACCCACGAATAGTACAGTTTGTGCCCCAGTTTGCTTGTAATGCTGGAGAGTAGAAAGAGAATTGTATGTTTGACCTAAGTCACCTAATACAGGAAAATGAGTAGGTATGAATTGCTCAATTATCCAGCTATAGAGTGCTCAGAAAGATGTGCATCAACAGGAAAAGAAAAAAAGCACCAAGACGGAATGGATGTTGCATAATACATCAGCTATCGCAACCACAGATACACAAAAAGGTGAATTTATGTCACCAATTAATATCAAAGGTTCTAATTGCCAGTCTACCTCTAACACTCAGTATTGTCAGGAATACTACGCTGAGTTTCTGGTAATGGAAATGTGTGAGAAAATGCATGCAATTGAAACCAATGTTATACTGTTCCAAACTTCCAAACGTGCTTGAATCGGCCATAAATCTAGCATATCCATCACGTAAGAATGTAAGATACCTTAGAATACTCAATAGACTTATATTTACTTTCACCAAGATGTCTATTAGGCTCTATGCTACATACTTTATTTTCAGTTGTGGATGAACAACCCATCACATGTGTTGGAAACATCATACATTCACAACACTAATTAATAACCACACTATTGATACTCAGCAAGAAAATAGCCTCTGCACTCAATCAATATTGCATGACTTATTGACTTGTATAATATTTCTCAACCTCATAGTGCTCATATAGAGCAGATACATGATCTCATATACTAACACAACATGTTCAAAGCTGAAAGATGTATGGATCTGAAACAACCACAATTGCAATATTTGGATCTGAAAGCATGACAACTGCCAACAAAACCTAACCATGCATTATTAAACTAAATTTTTAGATGCTACTTTCATAAGGGAATAGTAAGGAATAAGATAAAATAAAAAAAAAATAAACAAATAAAGAACAAAAAAGGCCCCCTAAAACTCGAGTAAACTGAACAGCCGCAGATGAAGCTTCCTATGTATAAGTTCACAGTAGATTCTGACTAATCAGCCTCTGCCTAAGGATAAAATATTCATCCTACGACTTTCATTACAATACTTACCGATGATTCCAAAAGTATAGGGAGAATCAGGATGGATCCTCGGAGGTGTTTGAAACCAAAATTCTCGAGACAAGTCACTTGATCCAATCTTGTAATAGTATTTTGTACTATACTGTAATGTAAGGGTATGAAAAGAAGTAAGATTGTAAGATCTTAAAAGGATAAAAAAGAATATTAGATGAAAGCATATTAATATTTGATTAATTAAATTACTTCAACATCAGAATTATCCAGATTAATTAAGTATGATGTAGTTTTATCATCTGTAATGAGATGAGAAAGATAGTAGCTGGCAAAACATTGAATACCGACTGAAACAAAATTAATATACCATCAAAAGTAATTAACATGATCTAGAATTCTAAGAGTATCTACACATATCTAATGTCTATAATATACTATAATTTTTTAAAGTGCAAATATACTATAATTTTTTAAAGTGCAACTATTTCTGATGAGAGTGGAGAGAAAACTAGACAACTACAGAAATTATTGAGTTGGGGAGCTTTTACTTCATTCTTTTCTAATGTATAGAGATTATCAAAGGTGTCTAGAGACAAAGTTCACTTATCACCCAAAACATAAAAAATGTCAAAAATCTTACAAATGTAGTTTGACAAACATAGCTACTCCTATGATGCACTTGTAAGAGAAATTGAGGAAGGCTTGAATTTTAATAAATACAGTAAATTAAAGTGTTCGACTTGATTTTGAGATGCCATAGCAGTATGACACAATGTCTAAATATATTAATTTAAAGGTGTTATCTGAATCATTATATCATACGCATATCAAATAGCCATTCACCAATAAAAGTACATACCTCAAGACCATCAAGAAGACAATAATGAATGAAACCAGAATTATATTTATAGAAAGTGTAGTTGGTCACAGTGCTTTCAACACTAAAGTTGTACTCCTTGGATTTTCCATATTGTAGTTTACGAGGGCCTGGTTCATCAAGTGTAACCCATGAAATTATGACAGCCTTCCCATCATAATCTCCTTGGGTTATATGAACCTGTTTGTCATAGAATTTTTGAAAATAGATATTAGCAAGAAGTTTCACTTTAATTTGAAAATTAAGGAATGTGATTGCATGTCAAACACTACTAGCAAAAATATTATAAGTATACTAATCAGCACAAAACTGATGATCACTTGTTTATCCTTGTTCCTCTTTCAGTGAGAGAAAGTACATAACGGAAGTGAGGATGGATAGGCCCTTTCAGAATGGTTACAGAAGGATTCTTTCACAGTCCTTTTACATTTTAGCACCAAAATCGAGAATATAATACACTTGAGGACAATTTGAAGATGCACGCAATGCCAGCTTCTCTACCATATTCAATATTTCTATTTACTGTAGTATTGAAGATAAATGTACCACATAAATCATCTTAAATAATGATTCATGTTAGATTTCAAAGGGTACATATATATTATGCAGCTCAAGCATACGCGTTGTATAATTTATTAAATATTTGAATGTTAATGAACAAGCTACAAACCTGCTGAGGAATATTGAAACCCTCTGGAACTGCAAAAACTTCATTATTAAGAGGGATGTCAACAGAAGGCCATTCTGATCGTATGTAGGCGCTACTTATCCCAGCATGCCCACTGCTCAAAGAACTCAATATCGTAGAAAACAGCAATAAAAAATGAATGCGTAATCGCTTGGTCCTGAAAGCTACGAGCATTGATCCTCACAAAGCACTAGTGAGAGTAGTGACAAAGCACTTCTTCCTCCTTCAAAATTGACGGTCCAAATAGAAAAATTAAGAAACTATGTAATATGCAGCCACAGGAAAACATGCCTTTATAAAACAGAAAAAGAATAGCAAGAAACCATGGCACACTGTGTACATCAGAAAGCAATGAAGAAAAATTACACCCAACAAATAGAGGTTGCAAACACCATACAATCCCACAATTCACCCACTTTATTTCTATTACAAAGACACGTTCATTTTGCTCTTACCATAACAACCCATAGTATCACCAGAAACATCATATTTTTACTAACCCAAATACCAGCCCATCAAAGATGTAAAGCACCTCCAGGTTTTCTCTAACACAAAAGGCATACACCATAAGGATCAGCAACATCATATAGTAAAAAGAGATGAGGATTCATATCTGCCTTTTAGTAGCACATAATACACACATTTGGAGACAAGGATAAACTTTAAACTGCTATCAACTCTAAATCCCTTACTTCATATGGACCTTTGTTCTTCCAAATTGAACAGCTTTATAAAAAGAATAACAGAACAAGTGAGCTGAAGAACTTTCAATCAAAATTCTCTGATGGACCCCTCTCTATCTCGAGGATTTTGTCTCAATGTTGCCAAATTGCCAGAACAAGCTATGCGCCTTTGAAACCATTAAGTGTGAAATAGATGTATTTGTAAAGTTGATTAATGTTAAATACATGGAAAAAAATGAATCGATGATGGGCTTCTCATAACAAATAATTCCAATACCCACTCTAGTCCCATTGCACACCAACAAAATTAATCAATGGAAAAACAAAGAAAATGCCTTGTAGATGAGCTTTGATATGTTTGGATAGGAAACAAAGGCAAAAAAGATCCCTTTTCTCCTCTATAACCCCAAATAAGAGGAAATTCTGCATGAATCTCTCTAATATATTAACCACTCCAACCAATATCAGTCGTCAGAAGGATGTTTTTCTAATTCCACACAGCCCAGACCCCCAAGGTGCTTCTATTTTAATTGAAATTAGATAAAGAAGGGACTATTAAGAAGGAAGGAATGAAGGAAGTTTTCCCTCAGTACCAGCCACAGACAGGTTGCCAGCTATTAGTGGTTATGGAAGCTCTCATTTCTTTCAAACCCTTTTCATTCCCTAGTGGTTGCCAGCTCTAATATCTTTCAAAGAAATTGATAATCTTGAGACATTTGGCTTTTGCAGTTAAGGAAGCCATAAAACTAGTTAAGGGCAGGTCATATCTTCTGCTTACTAGAAAATAGTTTTCCCTTCCTCTAAAACCAGGGTGCTTCTCTGTGCAAACCCTTCTCTTAGGGAACTAACTCAAAGCTTTATCATACAGATTACTAGTGATAAAAATAACATTATTAGCTCCCATCACAGCTTCCATCTCACAAACCAACCCTAATCAACAAAAACACACCAAAAAAAACTACAAATACAATTATACAAAAAATGAATCTTCCTAACAAACATAAATTTTTATAACTAAAGTTACACTATACTTCACTTATTTTGGTTCACAAGAAGAAAATTGAGCGTAATCAATGTTTTACTAATATTACTCCAATATTGTTCAATACTCCTTAGTTATTTCCATTGTCTTTAACACTGTAGTATTAAAAAGTTGTGTGTTTCAACTACTCGACTTCAATGCGAACCCTAACACTCTATTTACAATAAGACATTATCATTACATACCTAGCTGATTTTTGCAAGAGTTGTTTTTACTGTATCACATTTTACACAAAATCCAACAAAAAAAACAGAAAAATTAAGAAACCCTAACATTTAACATAGATAATCAATTTGCATCTACATTTCCTCACCAAAATTAATAATCAAGCACATAACTTTCTAATACTATGCTTAGCGTTAAGAAAACAACATACAATTTTCAATTTATGAAATAAACATCCAAATCTGGTATATAGTAACAACACCCAGTTCAATTTGACAACTGAAATCAGATTATAGCATATAATAATATTAAAACTGTAAAAATAATCGAAATTTGATCCTAACATAAAGGGTTTAAGATTAAACAGTTACCTGGAAATTAAATCAAGAACAAATAATTGAATTTCGGGAATTTGAGAGAAAGTATGGTGAAATCGGAAATGGGACAAAGAACAATCAGAATGTTTGAGGTGAAATCACAGAAAAGTGACGACTGTTAGCAGGAAGTTATCAGTAGGTAGGTAGGTAGCCTGGCCAGGTAGGTAGTGCGGAAAAAAGAACAAGCATCTTCCATTCCTCTATTAAAAAATCAAAATTAAAAAATTAAAAACAAAAATTGATCTTCATTTTCTTCTCCAAGATAAAAAATTTCATGCAAATTTGTCACTATTATTCACTAATTCGTTTAATGTTTCACTGTGAAGTTCGATCTTTAATTTCGTTCATCAATTCGTTTTGTAGCATTTTGAATTTTTAAATTTTTGTTTTTTAGGTTTTTGTTCTTAAAAATCTCAACCAAAATAACATTATTACGTATTTGTTAAGGAGGAATTCCCCGCATATGTGTTTGGCTATATCGCGGTGATCAGCGGCATGGTGGTTTAGGCTGAATGATTGGTGTTCTTCTGAATGTGTGGTTGGAGAAGACAACCATTCGTAAACAAGTAAATAATTTATCGCGATCTTGTTTGTGGCTTAGGTAATGACCTAGACTTCTTTAGGTCATTACCTTTGGAAAATAGTGTTTTATATGTTCTGGTAATGACCTTACTATGTTATGGACATGACAATATATTAGATTAAAACAAAAAAGCGTGTTGTTTTCATTATGAGAATTATAAAATCTAACTATAATAAAAGCATACAAATGATTTCCCCAATTATAACAAGGTGAATTTGGCAATTCATATCAACAGTTGCTTTTATAAAGTGTAGACCCTTATATTGATTAACAAAAGTTATAAATGGCATGTTATATATTGGAAGCGCTTTATTTTAGTCTTTTTTATGAAAAGTATAAAAGGCAGTAGTTTTATTTAAAGTTATTTTTTACTTTTAAATATTATAATTACGAAGGTGCGAATTATTGGTGGGGAATATTTGAATTTTTATGGTTCTATTATGGAAAACAAAGAGTGAAGTACTAAAAAAAAAATTAACTGCACAAGATCTTGTGGAGGAAAACGTGTATGTTGTGAGAGAGAGAAAAACTAAATTTGACAATAACTGAAAAATAGCATAATAATCTTTTACAAAATAAAAAGATTTCAAATAAATCTTTTAGCCTAAACTTTAGGTCCAATGAATAAACCCTGTTAGGAAAAATAGTGTAACTAAAGGTCTTAATCTAAATTTCCCATATACAAAAACCCTACTAGGAAAAAATGCGTAAATTGATTAACCCAGAGTATATCATAATCTAACATTTTGTCATGTCCATAATATAATAAGGTCGTTACTAGAACATATAAAACACTGTTTTTTAAAGGTAATGACCTAAAGAAGTTTAGGTCATTACCTAAGCCACAAACAAGTTCGCAATAAATTATTTACATTTTTACGGATCAAACAGGGACGAAAACAAAAAACGAATGGTTGTCTTCTCCAATCACACATTCGGAAGAACACCAATCATTCAGCCTAAACCACCATGGCACCGACCACCGCAATATAGCCAAACACCTATGCGGGCAATTCATCCTTAACAAATAAGTAATAATGCGATTTTGGTTGAGATTTATTGAGAACAAAAACCTAAAAATCAAAAACAGAAAAATTCTAAATGCTACAAAACAAATACATGAACGAAATCAAAGATCGAACATCGCAATGAAACATTGAACGAATTAGTGAATAATAGTGACAAATTTGCATAAAAGTTTTGATTTTGGATGAAGAAAATGAAGAACAATGAAAAATAATTTTTGTTTTTAATTTGATTTTTAATTTAATTTTGATTTTCTGATATTAATTAAGAAATTAAAAAACAGAATTTCTAAAACTATAAAAATATAATTTTCGAAAATAAAAAAAGAATTTCGTAAATGAAAAAAATGAATTTTAATTAAAAAAAGGCTTTGAAAAGTCAAAGATGACATGGCTTATAAACATCCAATCAAATTATGCCACGTCATTAGGCTTGTGGTAGTCACTTTTCAAAAGGCTTTGACTATTGTAAAAATAAGTCAAAATAAGTTGTTTTTTTAAGGTAAAATGAAAAACCATATTGAAAGTTGAAAAAGTTACCCCTTAGGGCTCTCACATGTTAAGTTAGCCCAACTTCATAAGTTAACGCTTAGCCCAACTTCATAAGTTAACGCTTGAGAGTAGAGGAGGTAAGGAAAGCCCTTACTCCCAAGCAAATATAGTTGGTGGTGGGACTGAACTCATAGCTTTTGAGTTCCTACCAATTCCACCAAACTTTGTTTGATAAGTATGAAGCGTTAGTTGTTTCACGTTTGTTATAATGATGTAAAGTAATAAAATGATAGTTGGTCTTATATATTCACAATATGAGTACCTAAAATGAGTAAAATTGAATCCTACTTGAAATGGGACAAATGCTTTCAAAAGGTTAATGGTTTATTAGATTTCATGGAAAGATTCGTGAAACAACTAAATAAAAAAAGACCATGAAGAATGTCAAAACTAATGATAATGAAATTAAGTTAAATTGTACTTCATACTCGTTAAATTACTACTTTATATGGAGTATATGATACAGAGTAAAGAAATTAATTTAAAGAGAATACACGTTAAAACTCCGTAAAATACTATTCTTTTAACCTTCCAAAAGAGAAGAAATAACAAACCGTTTGAATTGAATGGTTGGTCCCGCGTAAGTGGACTGTTAGTTGAGACGTTATTCATAAGCAAAGCACTAAACCAACGAACCCTAAAATGGCTTAAATTAACATTCATCTCCCTCCCTCTTCCATCTTCCATCTTCTTGCACTAAGCTTAATCGTGAATAATTACAACTCTAATCAAATCATTGTTGGAATATTTAGAGTGTCGTAGTGGAGCGTGCTCTACTGATTGATCATGCTCGCGCTAGCTAGGCGCGACCCGCGATGAAACCGCTCCTAAACCGTGAAGAGTTTCTGGAAATCTGGCAATTCTTTGGAGGAGCGCCCGCTCCTCCAGCGCGCCACTATTAGGCGCGGCCCGCGCCTAAATCGCGACTAAATCGCGTCAGCTTTCTGGAAAATCAGAAAGTTGGGATTCCAGAAGAGGAGCGCCCGCTCCACCTTGAGGAGCGCCCGCGCCATCTGTTTTTCGCGAATTTTTTGACGGTTAAGCTTTTTTTTAAAGGTTTGGTTTTTTCGTTAAGGAAAAAATACAGATTTTTCTCTCATTCTCTCCCTAAGAAATTCTCCATAATTTCTCTAAAAAATCTTGCAAACTTTTGTGAGAAATCTTCCTGATTTTAGCCTTCTTTGTGAATTATTCATCATCAATTCAATTTTTAGTGAAAAGAACAATTGGCTGTCTTTTGTATCTCAAAGAGTATTTTCGGATCAAACCCAAGCACCATTGTGGGGGAAATTAAACTCTTTAGGAAAGTGTCTACACGCCTAAGACAGTGTATCAAGGATTGAGACTCAAGTGGTCATTGAATTTCTCATGTTCATGTGCGTTTATTAAGGCTTGGAGTAGAGGCAAGTATATTATCTTTCACACTAGTGTTTTCCGTTGTATTTTCTGTAATACTTTGGTAATTTGGTGTTTGGTTGAAATACATTGGTTTCTATTTGGATTATTGTATAATTTGATATTGATTATACATGTTTCGGGGTTTTCTGATGTCCTGCGGGAGAGTTACAATTCCGAGACTGGAACCGGACGCCTGTACCTGCAAAACAAACGGATGCTCCGGACGGTTGGAGATCCGCCTCCGACGGTCAAGTTAGTACTTGATTAAGGAGTAATTAATGCGGAAATTAAAATGATTGGGTCTCTCTAGGTGAGAGTGTTTAATGTGTGTAATCTGCTTTTTTAGCATGTTCTCTCCCTTAATGAGGATTAAGGGAGGTATTTATAACCTCGGGAAACGTGTCAATCTAGGTTTAGGTTAACCTTGGGTTGATTGGACTTCCCTCGGGAGTTGGGCCTAGGTGACCGGTTATCCCAGGTGTCATGGGAAGGACACGTGTCGTGTCGTAATTGGTCCATGGTGGACGGATCATTGCTTGACACGTGGCAGGCTCCTATTGGCCCATGTGACGGACACATGGCGGAACCTGATTGGTCCACTTGTCAGATGGTGATTGGTGGGGAAAAATCCTTTAATCATTTGCCCCTCACAGGTGGCACGTGACTGGTCACGTGTTACCTGTGACAGGTATCGCCCTGTAACAGGCGACGGCCTGCTACAGGTGTCACTCGGCGAGAGGCCGAGAGATTCTCCCGCCAAAATTTTGAATTCTGGAAGTGACCCTTAGCCTTCTCACTTCGCCTATATAAAGGAGTGTTGACTTCGGTCATTTTCACACTTGAAAACTTTGTGAGAGAACATTTGGACCCCTGAACTTGCTCTGACACTTTGGACCCTCTCTGCCTACCGCCTGCTCTGACAAGCCGACTGCAAAGGATTTTCAGAACTTCATCAATCGTCACTCGTTCAGGTAACCGTCGGTTCTCTTACTCTTAATTTTCTCTTTACTTTATTCTTTTTTGAAATGGCACCACGGAAGCACACGACACGACCTAGGTTAGTGATCAGCCGGTCACCGGGGACGGTTGAATCTAGGACTAGGAGTGCCGCCTGCCCTTTTCTGGACCCATCTTTGCCCTTTATACAAAGTCCGACTGTATCTGTGTCTATGCAGAGTATGATGGCCAGAATAAAAAAGACTGCCAGGATCTCAAACTCAGACGGCTCCTCCCACAGGGTGTCGATTAGTGAAACATCTGACCAGGCGCCAGATGTGGAAGTGAAACAAAGCGGCTTGAAAGCCAGCAGTTCTGAGGGAGGAGTCAAAGTGACCCCTTCCCATTTTACAGTTGACAATTCTTCATTCTCTCCTGCTCCTTTTAAAGGAGAGGAGGCGGGCCCCTCCGGGAGAGGGGAGGAGTTGTCCTCTTCGGACTCGTCAGAGGACGATTCCGAGTCTAGCTCTTCTGGCCATGCTTCTCTGGACACAGAAGAGAAAAACAGTCGCCTACAAGAGGCGAGGCTTTCTCACGCAGTTGAGAAGGGGGACGATTGGGCGGCGCCATCCGCCTCTCACCGAGAGCAAAATACCCCCTACTACTGCACGGTACCTCGGGGCCGGATCACAGCCATGCAAGAGAAAGTGGAGAGCTTTATTGCAAACCACACAATGGGCCCCGACTTTTTAGTGTTCGTGCCGGATCCAGAAGACACAGTCGTCTGGCCGGCTGGTACCAGTTATTA